AGCTCTTTAGATCTTTTCACTATTTAATAAATAAAGAATAAGCTTTATTAAAATTAAAACTGAAAACTATCTCAATTAATATAATTTATTTATAGCAATTAATAAATTTATTTTATTACTTTTCACGTAAGAAAATATTCTTATATTCTTGTATTATATACTTGTATAGTCTATGTGCAGAGTGTCAACTGAGGTAACAATAGTAAAAAGTATAGTAATAAAGAAGTTTTGCTAATAAAACTATTTTGAATCTATCATAATTATAATGTATAAACTTCTTAATAATAAACTTAACTTGATCCATTATCTCCTTTTATAATTGTAAGAAGAGACCTGTTAAAAATCTTTTACTATACAAATACTATTAAAAAAACTGGAATAACAGTTGATATCTTTTACCAAAAATTAAATTATACCCACTTTTTTATGAATCACGTCTAAACTTTTTTTGGAGTAATTGTTAATACACATTTATTAATATATGAATTAGAAGATAATTTAAATTCAACATGCTATCTTTTACCATCTTATTGTTATATTTGCCATTCACTCTTTGATATTGACAAATAAGAAGACTACAAGTTCATCAACTTTTGGACTTAGATATTTAATTGTAAAGCAATAATATATAGCTAGCAATCACAAATAATATTTGATCAATTAGTTTATTTAGTTATAACTACTAAAGAACAACAAAGAAAATTAATCACTAAACTATTTGATTCAATCTTATACAATATTCAACTCAACTTTGGTGAAAGATAATACTATCATAATATGACATTTGACGAACAATCTTATTGAATAAGAAATATATTGATTATTATTGGACTATATTTATTAGTATTTCTATTAGATAGTTATTTTTAGATAGCTTTTATTTTATTGGACAATTATATGTTAAATATTATTGGTTCTTAAAGTTTGTGTTAACACCAGCAATGATAGTAATGACAACAACAATAGCAACAATAACAATGACATCAACACTCGTGTTAACACCAGAAATGCTGATAATACTCATGTTTAATTAACTTAACGATAACAATAATAGAACCAATTATACTGTATAACATGTAATTTATATAAATATATCATGTATCTTAGCTTAGAATAGAATCAGATAATTCAAGTTAGAAAGACAGTTAATCAATTAATTAATTAACAGTTAGTTAATTAAGTTAATAACTTGAAAAGTTTCTTGTTTGATAGAAACTTTGGATAACTTGTAAAGTTATATTTGTATTGGTTTTTGATCTTAAAAGATAAATTGCTTATAATAAACCATTGTTATTGACTTGAAAGACAGTCACTTGATAAAACTTATTACTTGTATCATCATCTTTGAAATTCTAAATAATATACAAAACTTAGTGAAGTTATTGGACATTATTCTAACTTGTCACAACAAGAACACACGTTACTTACCTTTAGTAATAAATCTTAGTCTCTCCATTTATAAAAACTTAATCTTTTTCACTCTTATCTTAATAAAATATGTGATTAATACATCAAGAACTTAATATTAATAAAAATTGTAACAGTATTAATATTAATTTTTGTCTTAGAAAAATCATTTCTAGTATAATAATTAACTTTAATATGTTTTGAATAATAAAAAATCTTAAATTATATCAAGAAAAGTATTATATTTCTAAGTTTTTAGAGAATTTTTTTATATCTTCTGGCATAATAAAATCTTTGATATGTTTTTTGATAATGTAAAATTCTCTAGAGCTTAAATTGATATATAAAAATCGAGATATAAAATCAATTTTGTTCCGGAACCAGTCTTCTTCCTCTATTATACTTTAATTGTCACTATTCAAACAAAATTGGTTTATCTATAATTGTTTTCAAACTAGATTTTTGGATAATTTGTACTTGTAAAACAAAAAGTTCATTGACAAATATTTTGGATTTTGAAACACTAAATTCAATTAATTGCATCCATCTCATAGCCAAAATTTGAAGTTTTCGATTTTAATTATATACATTAAGATAACCAGACAATAACAATCCACATAATTACAGCTAATTTACATTTCTTTGTCGTTGATTCTTTATTATGACACTTAAATTAAGGTGGTTTCATAGCCAATTAAGGGATCAATAATTTTTAAATTATCCAAGCCAACTATGCCTATTACTGGCTGTGTTTTTTTCTAAAAGTCCACGTTTCTAGATATTAAATTATAGAGTTTAATCAAAATATCCGTAATGATAAAACAGATCTAACATCTTCTGTAAATCTTAAAGCATCTAGAAATGGTAGCAAATCCAAAAGTGCCTCATCTTTTGGGTCATTAATCCATTCCTTGATAGGTATCCCGTTTTCTGTAATGATTGGATTATCTTTTATTAGGAAAACAATCAAGCTTAAAATTTGCAAGATAATTTTGATAGTTTACTTACCTTGTTGCAACGAATATGAGATAGGCGAATTGTCTATCAGACAAACCTTAGAAAGATCAGGCTCGACTTTAGTAAGATCTTTAACATATGCGCCACTGCGATTTGTACATGACTAAAATGCAAGAATAGTAAGCAAAAAAATTAAAATCAAAATATTTTTATTTTTTGTCCCTCATTATTTTTGTTTCAATGATAAAAGGAGAATTGTTGATATTTTATGCAATTTGATTAACATCACATTTACGGACAAATATTATTAGAAATTGTGCTGACCTCACGAAAGTATCGATTTGATATCAAATTTTTGTTTGGATCTAACCAATCAATGACGGGGTCCGCATATTCTGACATAGAAGCAGTAAAAATAACCACTTTATACCACTCGCTTACCTATTGTTAATATTAGAAGATAGACACATTAATAATATAGGATCAAATTATCATCTTTATCTACCTAAATTAAATTCTTTACCTTTTTCAAAAATCGATCAACATGTGGCCTTTTGTGAACATAATATAGACAAGCATGTTTATCAACCATAACTTCAATCATTTGCGCAGCAGCTCGTGATCCTCCTAAGGCTGAATGAATCAGAGTCTCATCCAAATCAAGAATAAGTGTTTTTGGTTCCATTAATGTTGAATATGATGTTATTTTCGCTGGCAATGTTACTTGATGATATAGTTGTAAGTTATTCCTTAGTCGTGTAGTTAGGTTAGATGATGGTTGATAATTAGAAGTATTGTTGTTATTAGTATTATTGTTGTTGTTGTTGCTGTTGTTGTTATCGTCGTTATTATTAGCGCTACTATTGTTGTCAATCGAAGATGAAATTATGACCTGCTGTTGTAATTGACGCTTTATTTTCGAAGAAGTCCGTGTTAAATTATCGTGATGTTGGATAGAATTGTCATTATGATTATGATTTAAATTATCAACATTATCATTAATAATATTAATTGAATTACTATTGTGATGATGATTGCCTGGAGTAAGAGTAGTGGTTTGTGAGATGAATGCAGATGATGTATGATCATTATTGTTAGAACGATTTTGAATACGATCGGTCGCTTTACTGACTGTACTCGATATAAAAGAATACAATATAGTCCAGTATGGTAATATAAATAATGATGATGGATTAGTCGTGGTTGAACTCGAAAGATAATCAGATATCCCAATGTTACTTGGGTGATTATTATTATTATTCATGTTATTATTATTCATATTATTAATAATATTATTTTTCGTAATAGTAATAGAAGCAGTGGTATCTTCGCTCTCTTTTTCACTTAAAGATCCAGTAGAAGTTGCGGAAGAAGGTGTCGATGTAAATACTTCTTGTGAGACAAGAGAGGGTGTGGATGCAGGAAATGCAGGCTTCATTGCTTCTATTGTGATGTCAACCATTTCTATGAAAATGTTTCATTATCAAGTTCATAAATTAAGAATAATCGAACTTGCACCTAATAGAAATCGTTCTTTGCCAATTCTCAGGTTTTTTTTACGAAAGTAAATAAGCAGCTTTCGTGATAAGAGCTAATTCTTTTGTAGAGTAGTAGTCCAAAATCTTCAAGAATTGTTGTCAATGAAACACAATGTTAATAATGCTAAAGAAAAAAAATCATAGAATAGCAAATTGCATGAAAAATAACCAACAACTACCTATATCGATATAAAAATAAAAAGTAGAGCATTCGGAGTTGAGACGCGTGAGAAAACGATTCGTTAATTGCCCTCTTCAGCTGTAGAAAACCAATCATTCCACATGATGTCATTTCGTTTGTTCTGATTGAAAGATTGACTATTGACTCATTGCTAATTATAATAGATCGTGAGACATTGATTCGTAATCCTAATTATCCTAATTATCGTTATGGGTCCATTCCGATCTATTGATCTTTCTCCAAGCCTCAAACTAATTTGGGTGTGATTGGCATATGTAATTCATATTCAGATGCATATCTAGTAATTTTGTTTTATGTAACACCACTGAAATTAGGCGCGCATCAATTATCAATGCAAGTTATTTTTAATCACAAAACCGGTGTTAGTCTAAAACTAATTAAATTGCAATAATAAAAAAAAAGGCTTGGGATTCTTCGTTAGTTGACAATAATAATATCCTTTTAAAATAATATTACCACACTCACGCTATGGGGACTAGAGTGTATATTGGTCGTTTGGCAAGAGATGCTCGTGAACGAGACGTAGAAAAACTCTTTCGTGGCTACGGTAGCATTAGAGAAATTAAATTGATGAACGGCTTTGGTTTTGTTGAGTTCCGTGATCATCGTGATGCTGATGATGTAGTTTACACTTTTAACGGCAAAACTTTTATGGGTGAAAAGTAAGTTGTACTCGACTAGATGAATTTTCTTTGTGTCTTTATTATTGCTGTTGTCTTAATTATATCACATGAAATAAAAAAGAGGATTATTTTAATAATTTGCATTTATAAAATAAACTCTTTTGAAAAAAAATACAGGCTCATTGTTGAATATGCCCGCGGAGAACGAAGACGTCGGGACCGGGATGATCGCAGGGATAGAGACAGGGACGAATTTAGAGACAGGGATAGGGATAGGGATGATCGTCACCGGGACGATCGTGATTGTGGTAGCAGGCATGTTGCAGCGTCCTGGATACCTTTATTCCTTCCCTTCCCTTCGTATCTTTAAAAGCATTGTTTGTATTTTCTTTAATTATAATCTCATGTAAACATCGAATCCTTTAATCTTTATCCCTATAGCCGGTTCGCCCCTCCCCAAAGAAACCCTCATTATCGGTTAATTGTGGAGAATTTGTCTTCAAGCTGTAGCTGGCAGGTATGCAACCCTTGTTCCATACTCCGTGCATGAGCCGCCCACTGCTTCTGCTGTTTAGTGGCTCTTCGTGGGTCCTACTCTTCTCTCATGGTTTCCGAAAAGATTCGAATGAATCACTTTAAGAGACTCTCCAATCATCCGTATTGATTTATTTGTATGGTTTTGGCTCTATCAATGAATCAAAGACGTACTGTTCTGTGTTTTTGTTACTTTAACCCTTAATGAATGAGTCAATAATGGAATTGAAAAAGAAAAAAAAAGGGAATTGGAGAGTCCATTACACACTGGTTTTCTGCTTACGATTAGTCAAACTTTTAATAATTTGGCTCAAAAAAATCAGACTATAAGAGATTTACTTGCAAAGAATTGGGGTTCCGGGTGTATTGTGTTTTCATCTTCGAGCTCAGGCTCCATTTCGAACGAATTTTTGGTTTTCTCTACCGACTTCTTGTGGTCTTCTGTCTGTCTGTCCTTCCATTGGAATTCTCTTTTTGGAAATGACTGAATCCTGGGGGTCTTGAAGCGCAAGTCCGTTCATACATTAAAAATCAACACTACACCCCTACTCCTATCTACCATTCTTTAACAAAAAAAGGATTTAAAGGACCTAATGCGAAAAGCTGGTGAAGTAACGTTTGCCGATTGTCATAAAGATCGAGACGGTGAAGGGTTAGTATTTATCATTATCATTATTATGTTCTTTCTTTTGTGAGACATTCTAAATAGCGATCCTTGTTATTATAGCGTTGTCGAATTCTCCTCCTATGAAGATATGAAGAATGCTATCAGAAAGCTTGATGATACTGAATTGAAAGGAAAACGTATCATATTGCGTGAAGCTCCAGTAAATATATAAATTTCTATTACAAGTATGTCTTCAAGGAAATGTAATTGAGCTTAAACAATTAATTATATTTTTTCTTCAGGATAATGACACTGATCGTGAACGTGATCGCCGCTCTTCAAGACGCTCGAGATCTCGATCTCGCACTCCTCGTCGAAGCTCACGTCGGTCTCTTTCTCGTTCACCTCGTCGCAGCGTTCGACGTTCTCGCTCTCGTTCAAGAACCAGATCCAGATCCCGAACTAGATCTCCTAATGGTAAAGATCGTTCTCGCTCCGTTTCACCTCGTCGTGTGCGTGATGACTCGCATACTCCCACCAAAAGAAGTAGATCCAGAAGCGGTGAACGTGTTCGTGAGGATGATGACAAGTGAGTGCAGACACAAGATTTAGAAATAGTGTTATAACAATTAATGCCTAACTATAAAGCTTTTTATAATTTATACAGGAACATGAAAATTGATTAGAAAAAACTACATAATTAAATTCGGTGAAATATTTCTTATCTCGTGCAATGTTTCTTCACCTAACAGACTTTTACCTAGTCATTTCTAGAATATCGAGGTTTTTGACTAGTAATTAGTTTTGTTCAAAAGTTCGTGCTTGACTTATATAATTATAATATTTCAAATTATATTTTATTATTATATTGTTCTTAGTAGTAGTATTATTGATAATTTTTAATACAAATACAATTGTTGTTCGATAGATTATTTTATTGATTCTTGGTTCTTTCTTTACATTTAGCTCTTTTTAAAATCCACCTATTATATATACTATACCTATCGTTATTGAAATAAATAAAATAAATAGTGCTCTTTGCTGCTATACACCAAGTGACTATTATTAAATGAGTCATAATCATTTATACAGTCACACTTTTTGGTGTGATTATACAGAGGTATGTTGCACAGAAAGACACGTCTTAGTTCGCGTCTAGATTCTTTGAATTCAATTATAATTTTTATTTGAAAATTAAAAATGAAAGTAAAAACGCTTCAAATACATTGGCATGAGATGCTGCCCATTTATTCAGCGGATTTCGAACCAGGTGCAATTGGTCGCTTAGTGACAGCTGGTGGTGATAGCAACGTGCGGGTAAGCATTTGAAAAGATCGTTTATTGCAAAAATTAGTAGCGTCTATAATAGAAAGTTCTTTTTTTCAGATGTGGAAAGTCACAAAAAGTGAAAAAACTTCTCCAAGAGTTGAATTTCTCTCTACCCTAAATAGACATACTGCACCTGTTAACGTTGTTAGGTTCGCTCCAGCAGGTATTCGCACAAATTCTTGAGATAATATTTAATACATCATCCACTAATCTTCAGTTGATTCTTTAGGAGGAATTTTGGCATCTGCTGGCGATGGTTAGTCATTATTGCATGAATAAAATATTATTTTTAATCGCCGGGGAAACTTAGCCCTTGATCCTCTTCTAGACTTGCAAATTAAATTTTTGAATTATTATTAATAGATGGTAATATAATTTTGTGGTCCTTGTGTGAAGATCAAGAACCGAAGCATGTTTCGTTGATTGGGAATTCCGAAGGCGATTCTGATCATGAAAGTGAAAGCTGGCGAGTAAAGAACTTTTTAAGGTAAAAAAATCGTTCATTAGATTGATCTTTTCATTCTTTTTAAATCTTGTTTCCTTAATTTTTATTCAAGAGGTTCTTCGGCGGACATATATGACCTTGCATGGTCACCAGATGGAAAATACATTATTACCGGTTCTATCGACAATACAGCACGAATATGGAATGTTAATGGGGGTAAGTTAGCTAGCTGCTATATATTATTAAAAAGAAATAAAGCTGACCTCAAAAGTTTATTTTTTAGGAACATGTTTATATGTTTTAGCTGGTCATAGCCATTATGTACAAGGAGTCGCTTGGGATCCTTTAGGAAAGTATATTGCCACCCAAAGTAGTGATAGGTAAGTAATAATTTTTCTGTTAATATATTCAAATGATCGATTTTTCTAAAATATTCTATATAAATTTTCTAGATCTGTACATATTTATTCATATCAAATCCAGGATGACGGTTCTTTTACAATCACCGATCTTGGAAAGAATTTGAATTACAGACGCGATGTCATTAAAGATAACAATCACAATAATAGTAATAACACAACGCCTGATAATTCTCCGACCAAACAAATTAAAAATAGGATCTTACTTGATGCGAATTTATTCACCACAGGAGAAAATGCCCTCTTGTCTAAATTTAATTCTATTCACGCAAACAATGAGAAACTAGAATCTCATTTATCAACTCAAAAAGATATAATAACAACAACAACAACAACAACAAAAACGATGAATACTCCTATTGAAGATAATTCAATTTTTAATAATGATAATGAGTCATTATCTCCGATAATACATTCTCGAATACTTCAAGGTACGACAACAGATATATTTTCAGTATCATCATTAAATACTGTCAGTTCACCACCACCGAAAACAACCCCATCAAAACCATACTCGAAATCATTTCGGATGTATCGTGATGAGACATTGAAATCATTTTTTAGAAGATTGACATTTACACCGGATGGATCGCTGCTCCTGACTCCAGCGGCTATTTATCGTAATTCAGCAGCAAACAATGAACAACAACAAACCACAAGAATCGATTCCGAAGCAAAAAATGCAGTTTATCTGTATTTACGCAATAAATTAAACAAGTAAGTAAAAAGAAAGAAGTTAATAAATTAATAAAAAAATAAAATTTATTAAAATTTATTAGATTGCCTATTGCATGCCTTAAAGGATTCGAAAAATCATCAATTTGCGTGAAATGCAGTCCTATACTATACAAATTACGCGTTATCGAGTGCTCTTCATCTCCAAGCGATATTGATGCGTCTTTGTCAAAAATGAGCATCACTGAACATAGTAAGACATCACACACAAAGTTTCTCGACTTACCATATCGTATAATATATGCAGTTGCAACGCAAGACGCGGTCTTTATCTATGATACACAACAATTGAGTCCATTGGCGATGGTGTCAAATCTGCATTATGCAACCTTTACGGATGTGACTTGGTCTATGGATGGGAATATTTTGATCATCACCTCTGCTGATGGATTTTGTTCTGCCTTGTCATTTCGTGAAGGGGAGTTGGGCGAACCATATAATAAAACTATTACTAATGAAACGCCAAAAATCCCCAGCACTATCAGTAATATACCTAAAGATAATGCTGATGTGAATACTATTGATGATTCTTTGGGAGTCGGAGCTCAGTCTTCGCCACCAGCTGACTTGTCTTTGGTTTCACAAGATCGAAAAAATCAAAATGGCACCAACACAACAAATCAACCAAACATCGATCAACTTTTGCAAACACCTTCACAATCACCCAATAATCAAAAGAGAATTGCACCAACTTTAATTAAACCATTAGATACTTGATGATTTCATTTAATATTTGATCAGTAGTAATTTGTTGTCATTTTTACAGAAAATCAATTTTATTATCAATCACCCGATATTTATATGAAATGGATTAGGCTAATCTATTGTGCTTGTCAACTTTTCAAAGAACATTCTTATTCTTCAAATAATATGAACACAGAAAATTAATACACACTAAAAAATTGATCTCCAGCTGACGTTAAAGTGATGTGAGCAAAATTTTTTGGTCGGATTAACATTTATTACAATATTTGTAATAATGCTTTATTAATAATGCCAATAAAAAGAAACACGACGCAAAATTTATTTATTATATAGACGAGGAATATTAATCAAGTTTCCAATATTTCTAATTTCCAGGATCCACTTATTGTTTTAATATTGCCCACATGTGGCAAGTTATCGGCTACTGGGGTCTTTCGAAACGTAATAGTTAAAAATCTAGAGCAAATTTTATCATTACACGGAAATATTCTAAGAAAAGACAAAATACCTTTGCTTTTGAATCTACTATTGTGCTCGGTGACAACATCTCAATATTTTCGGTTCGTGTTTGTATTTGTTCTTCGAGTTCAGAATACAAAGACTGAAGATGTCTTGCTTTCTCGACATATTTTGACGTTGCGAGAAAATGCAAGATATTAGATATACTCCCTAAGTGATAAATGAAAAGATAACATTTAATCATATTATTTTTTGTTGTTGTATGTATATATATATTGGTGAATCGTGGCAAACCTTGCATATTATAGAATCGCTCTTTAAGCCTTCGAAGAGAATCAAAAAGATATTCTTTTTCATAGACACTGCCTCTTTTTCCGCGTGCGCGTTTTCTTTCATCTCGACGTCGGCTTTTGGCACTTTTACTTTTTATAACCCAACAGAACCAAAAAAAAAATATGAAACAAATTTTCAAAAAAAAATGTTTAAATTAAAAATAATTATCTACCCGCTTCGCAAAGAATCTACACTCAATCGAGTATTTGACTTTGTGTATCTTGAAAAATCACTAGCAACAATCGAACTTGTGTCTGAAAAAACCTCCACGTTTTCCAATGTTTCGTCATTTCTGATATATTCTAATTCTAAAATACCAAAGAAATGAAATAGAAATGATTCTCATAAAAAAAATGGCGAACAGTTTATCAAGAATAGAAACTTTACGTTCTTCTTCATTTTCTTTACTGATTAATAGTTCGGCAAGTCGCGTTGTTTGTTTGTTTAGCTGTTCTTTCATATCTTCAATATCTTCAATCAAATGCTTATATCCTATAATTTGCAGTGTATTGTATTAATAATCGGGAGATAGAAAGAAACGAAACTACATAACAAAAATTTCTGCTACCTTCTAATACGCTCGGCTTGACGTGTGTTTCCACTAAATCTACTCGATTTTTCAGATAGCACTGTGAAAGCTTAGCACCTTCTTACGAAAAAAACCAACATCATATATATAAGACACTTACAATACGCGTAGCCTCATCCCACATATATGATTTTCCTAGTAAACTAATGGCATCCTCTAATTCCTTTTATTTATAAAATAAAAACCATATATTACAAAAAACTTAAAATAAACTCGGTATAAATATCATTGTATATTAACCTGTGTATAATCCAAAAGCACTCGTGCAGCATCTTGATAATTTTTTTTATCAGTTAATAATTCTAAAAAAAATATACCAATAAATAAATACAAAGTTTTACATAATACAAACAATATTCCTATGAAGAACAAACCAACCAACCAACCAGAAAACTCTTTGGCCAAATCATATAAATCCTGAGAGATGTAATTTAGTTGCTGAGCAATAGAAAAAGCGTCACGCCATAAAAGAGCATTTTTGTAGCTATCTAACGCGTCGATATGCTTGTCGGCCAAAAGATAAGCTAACAAGAAATGAAAAATCAATAAACTTAAATAAATATATATAATGAATCAATAAATTAATTACCCAATCCAGCTTCTTTGTGTTGTTTATTCGATGACAAATAATCACCATACATTGACATTATTACCTGATCGGTATATATATAATTTAATTAAGAAAGAAAAAAGATATGCAATCAAAATCAGAAATAATTTTTAAAAACCTTATATGGTTCTGGGTTGTTTGAAAATAAAGTCAACCCAAGTCGATAGAGTTCATGTTCAAGTATATATTCATAACAGCGATCAATGTGCTTATCACCTATATCATATATGAATGCATCATTTAAGTAAATACATATACAAATAGATTATCTTGTTAAATTTACCAGCCAAATAAAGATTATTCAATGCCTTTTCATAGCGTTTCAAATAATCGTCAATTTTGAATCGCTGGAAGTGCTTCTCGTGTGTTTGAAGTTCCGATAAAAACGGTAAATATTCTCTGGGATCCTGACAAAATCAAGCTTAATTAAAAAAGACAAATACACATTGGTGCGGATGGACATCATCACACACATACCCTTTGAGACTGTTGCGCAATCATGAGAACCAGGGTGAAATCGTACATTCCCAATGCTACATCATACAGTTTATCTGTGTCAACCAAAAATGTGATAAACTTTAACGCGTCTTCAGCGCAATCAAAATCTTTTTCTGTTCAATTGACGATAGCAGCAACATTTAGCATTTATTAGGTTATTTATATCAATCAGAGCTGGTCAGTTTATTGATACCTTTAAGAACGACCAAAAGTTTCAACGCGGGTTCTAAATCCGGTGGTGTCTTTTGTACATAGGTGGTCAATATTGATTGAATATACCTTTTTAAATCCAAATTTTCTAATATTTCCCGTATTGAGTCACAAATAATGTTGACTTTTTGTTTTTGATCTCTACGATCACTATTTGATATTAATAGTAAATTATTCAATATTATATTTATATCATAAAATAAGAATGGATAAACAAATAAGATACCTTTACCTTGGTTTTTGAGATCCACCATTTTCCGATTTATCATCAGAAGAATACGGATACATTGTCAAAGTGACATCTTCATTTCTTGATAAAAGGAGCAACTTTCAATATTTAATAACTTAGATTCTTCTCACATAAATTAATTAATATTTCCTCACCGTAAACTCGACAAGAATAAATTTAAATAATCAACTTCAGAAACTTGTTCCACAAATGTTTTCACGTTCCTCAAGAAAGTATCCGGTGCATGATCGTATAAAATATTAAAGTCAAGTTTATGTTTACGGCATATTACAAATCCCGATCGGTAATCCAAACTGTGATACAGGGAAAAAATGAATTCAACTAAATTAAGAAGAATTTTTAGATTATAATTACGGTTATGATTATTTACTTACTCGTTCAAATGTTGACGCACGGCAGCCAAAACAAAAGCACGCGGATGTATAGTTTCCAAATTTCCTCTTGGCATCTTAAAAAAAAAACCAATCGGTGAATTACATTATGAAAACATTTTTTTTTACTTATACATACTTGAAGAACAAGAGAAACGTCAAAATATGGAGCAATAATAATTTTGGATCCTCTTTCGATACGACGTATCGTTTCATCGAACGGATGTGTAACATTGTCAGAAACTTTGAATTCTATAAAAAAGTAATATATAAATCAATCTTCATAATACATGTAAAAAAGTCCAAATGACATACCTGAAAAGTTGACACGAAGAGGAAGAAACCTAGCAGTATGGCTTGAAGTAGTGTAAACTATATAGTCGTTATGAATAAAGAACGATGTACAATCTACTGCTAATAATCTGTTGTTCGCGTAGAGTTTATTATTTTTGCTCAAGCCTATAATAACAGAGACCTACAAAATTAAAATTTAAAAATTTAATATATGTTAATAATAATATAAAAAATAATAAAAATAAAACATCACCTCTTCTTCTCCATGCTTTCCGATACGAGTTGACGAAATGTGCTCACAAAACTCTGGAAAACACGTAAATGGGTCCGACTCAACCAGTAATTCACCTTTTTCTTCTTTTAAAATGACTGATAAAAAACACAGTATTAAAAAAAAATTCGACAAATTAACTGGTCCAATAAAGTGACATACATTGGATATAGAGGGAAATTTGCGGATATTAACAGATATCCCGAGTATACCTGCAAGATATGATCCAGTGACCCAGAAATTCTCACATCTAAATCTCTTATATATCACTATATTTCGACCAATGATTAATTTGATAAAAGATATTTTTACCTTTAAATATGGATCCGTTCATAGTCTCTACAAAGACTTCTTCGTAGTTAACATTGGAATAAAGCTTTAAAAGACGATGTGAAGTAATACAATGTGTTTGGGACATGATTGAAGGCATGCCAGATTCGCCATCAAAAGAAATATTAAATTTGACGATAGAAGAATGATGCAATCCGAGCAACGTGTTTTTATTGATCCAAGCGATTTGTTTCAAGGCTGTAATTAGATCCTTATTCATAGTAGTACTAATATCATACATAATTACTTATTTATCGATGAGAAATGATAACGATAAAAAATTGATATTTTAATACAAACTTTATTGACCCCAATAACGTCGGAGGTCTTAAAGGTTTCTCGCAAGCACCAGCCCATCCAAACAGCAATATATCCCCGTTTGCTTCAAGCACAGCAAAATCGTTACCGTGATTATTTGTCGAGAACGAAAGGTGCGTTGCTGGGTGATTGAGTTTTATAGAATAACCGCTCATCGGAGGTGGAACATTCATATAACGAAAAGGCGTGAGGAAAATTGATGCTAAAGTGGGAGTCGAGATTAAATAACATATCTCAAGAAGAAAAAAAAAGACAAAATTGATAAATTATTTTCTTTACATCCATCGATAACTGCTACCGTTGCAGCATTTTTTTTCGAGATAGTGTGACTGATTAACACGTCCCATGAATAATTATGAACATAATAAGCTTCTATATAATATTTTGATTGGATAAAAAACAAATCAACGAATTATTCATTAAAACAAATAAATTCTAACGCTAATGCTTACTCTGAGTCATGTAATGCAATTGCAGCGCTAACTCAGCGTCCCAGCACAAGAAACAAATAGATTCACCGGGCGGACACAAATTTTCTTGCTTCAAATACCAATGATAATTATTCATGTGCCATAATTGAACTGAAATAAAAAGATATATTTTTTTTTATAATTATTTGGGAAATCTAAAAATGATAAGTTTAATTAATTACCACAAGATGAATATTGAGAAGGAGCTTCCTCCCGAATCAGCCAGACAGCTAATATCGATGAATCACAATTCCATGCTAATTCAACCACCTAACAATCAACAATATAGCATAATCAATCAGGCTCATGAGATTAAATTTAAAATATTCTATTCAAATCACACCTTATGATTTTTTGTTTCCCGTAACGCGAATGCTCCATGTGTTAATCCATTTTTCTCAAAAAAACAGATATTATGCTTATGTGGCAATTTTTGTGAAGATGTTATCAAATTTCCACTGGGCCTATATACAAAAATAATTCAACTGAGAACATGTGCTCGATGATTTCAAAAACAATTAATTACAATACCTCCAAAAAAGACTATGCTCTAATTTATTGACAGGTTCACTTGTATTCTGCAAGATTCCTTCTCTATTATATATCCTAATTACGCGTCGCTCTTTTAACAATGATAATTATGATTAAGTTTTACACTTCAATTTTTCTCTTAAAGTTAACTAATAATTAATTCGTTAGTTACCTTTTAGAGGGTCTATTATTGTACACGAGAAGAAACTTCCGTCTCCACACCAAGATACACGAGGCCGAGAATCGTCATCCTCAGATAACGTGTATTCCGATAGATTAATTTTCTTTAGAGCTGCAGATTTTCCTTCTGATCCGTGAAACTGGGTTTCTTTGCGACCCCATCCCACACTAACACTATTCGCTATTAAACAGATATTTCGGTTAAGACACGGTTGCCACATCATTCAATAGAATTAAAATTTATACCTTCGCCAGCATTCTCTACATTAATAGGAAACTCTGTCAAAACTTCAAAATTCTTTGTCATTAATAGGATATGATCATTTCCTAACAAAAATTTTTTAATAGGTTAGTTAGTCCATCAAAGTACGGGATAAAATGAACGCAGAAAAAATATGGTACCATTAACTATCACTCCTAATTCTTCATCAGGACTCCATTCCATACATTTAATTCCAGACTCAACGGTTCCAACCACTTCAATCTAGTCAATTAAATGAATCAAAGAAAATTTAATTTGTTTATTGCAATACGGAATGAGAAAATAAAACTAATTTTACCAATTCAGGATCTGCTAAATTTTCTTTGCCCACAAGAACGATATCACCGCTGCTGAATGCGATAAAGCAAGCTTGTGCATCAAGCAAGTATTTCAAACAAATAATTTCACTATTGAAAAAATCATGTTTTTTTGTAAACGAGGTTATCGTATCAATTTCAAATGTAGAATCCTAAAAATGAAAAGTGAATTAGTACAAGGTAGAGAGTGAGTGACCAACAAACACCATTACTTTAAGTAATACCTCTTTTCTAGAAATTCGAAGTAGCTCAGTAGAAGAGGATTCTTCCAAAAAAGCTGTCACCCAAACATCCTTTGTCTCGTAATCTATAGTAAATGTGAATTGACACTTTAAAGAAGTGGGAACATTTTGCTCAAGCGAAACAACCGTTCTTGCTAATGTCACTAAACTCTTCATAGTATCTCGAAAACGAGAATTTCAATGATGATCTCAAAAAATTTTTTTACGTGTAACCTACTCTAAAAATATTAATGGTTCTATCTTCACCGTGTGCATGCGTTTATCTGCAAAAAGAATGTGAGCAGTACAACAATTAACCATAATATGCATACACACATAATTTCTTTCCGATAACGAACGTTCGAAATGATTTTTCACATATATTGTGTAACTTTTGGGTTCCCATGTGTGCACCAAAAAAATTCCCGCTCTCTACCAAAAGTATACACAATCTCCTTTTCTTTTGGCCAACTAATAATAATATCATCATTATTATTATTATACTATTTTTACTCACTCTCTTGATATTGATTCTCCTTCTTTTGCTCTAATAAATCTGGCATTTTATCCGTCTCACTGAGATCTCATTCCCACCAACTCAAAAAACTTCCAGGACACTAAAAAGAAATTTGGTGGTACGTTAACGACTTATTCAGCTTAATCTCTCCTTTATCATCCGAAGCCCTCGCTTCTCTCCTTCCTCCTTAATCTAAAGAACTTACCAATAATAGCCAAAACGGTCACACATTTCCGCATCTATTATAGCAGCTATCTAGCTCCCTTTTCATTATTAGCCAAAGAAAATTAATAATAATTGCACACCAAGAAAATAATCTCTTTTCAGACGAACGAACATACAAAGAATCAAAGCTTTTTTTACTTATAGTAAAAAGCTACAAAATATATCTGCGAAAATTCAACAAAACAATCACGATTACATAACACCGCAACCATGGGCTTGATACTATCACACCTAGGCAAAGGGAGTGGTGATGCAGTGGTGCCAGATTTATATCTTGACCTTGAAAGTAAGCTATTTATTTATTTATTCTGGCAGACTTTACGCGTATTTCTTTTATTCATAATTGTCGTAATGTCAGGTCATTTATATTTTTCCTTTGAATATCATAAAACACGCGACGCGATTATCGTTTGTTCATAAAATATTTGATAAAACTAAATTAAAACATTTTTTCAAGATGCCGAACCTACTCAAGCAGAGCTCGGCTTACATGGCCATGTATCAGCACTACTCCAGCCAACAGATTCTCTCCTGGATTCCTTACGACGATACGATGGGTGCGGAGAGCTCATCCGAAAAGCAATATCAAATCCAACACCTGAAAACGAAGAAGAAGCTTGGCAAGCTGTTCAACCTGCTGTCGCAAAGCTAAAGCGTTATTTTGAATATTCAGCGTCATTGGGTATTTATATGTATTTCATTCTAGATTGGAAGAGTTAGTTAGTTATTCATTTGCGAAAATAATCTTATTGACATGTATAGAATTTTGCAAATTCTGATTTTTTGTTAGAGAATGCATTACCTGAACTGTTAAAAGCACTTTGTGAAGGCAATGTGCGGAAAAATATTGAGACATATCAAGCACTCACAAAATTATTGGCAAATATACTGGATTTTTCGTTCGAATTTGATTATTCGAAGGTTTGATTAATTTCTTTGATTAGTAAATTTTTTTTCGGCAAAATTATTTATTAACCTGAGTTCTTTTCAATCAATAATTGAAAAAAGATGAAAACACCATCTATCCAAAATGATTTTTCATACTATCGGCGTACATTAAGCCGAGGGAAACTTGCAAACGAAGTTAGTTAATATTAATCTTATATCTTTTACCGTGGGAGGGAGCGAAGTTAGTTGAGATTTTTTAGAGGATGGGATATTTCTAATAATGATAATAATCAAATTAGACGGATCTGAAAACTTCCATGATTGAGGATGAATTGGCCAATCGGATTTCATTATTTTACGCATATCCAACGCCGATGCTAAAAACTGTAACGGATGTTACGGCACTCTTTGTTGCCAAGGTATACCGAGTTACCATTATTATTAAATCTTTATCAAAACACGACATCATAATGATCAAATTTTATTTTATCTTAATAAAATCAGAATAATTTGGGTAGAAGCGTTTCGGAATGTTTATCTGGATTGGCGGCAGGATGTTATCATGCAGTAACAAAGAAAAGGTTTATTTCTTTTTTATTCAAAAATGAATGGTTTGCGAGTTAATTTGTGCATGTATTGATATATTAATTCATTTAATTCTGTATGCAGAGTTCAATCATCAGAAACAGTCGCTTTTTGTCTACGGGTGATGGTCGTAGCCATTATTCTTTATGATCATATTGACCCACAAGGAGCTTTCAATCGACAATCTCTCATTAACGTAAGAATTAGACATAATATCTAACTATATAATTAAGTTAGTTAATATTTATTATTATTATTATTATTATTATTATTATTATTAGATAAAATCTTCAGTTAAGGCTATACAAGCACATGGTACTACCGAATATTCGAATCTCATGTCTGCTCTACGATTCAATACCAAACATCTGAATGATGACTCGACGCCGAAAAACATAAAGCAACTGTTGAGTAGCCATTAAAACTTGAAGAGTTTCATCTTGTACAAAAAAAGAATAAAACACAACCAAACAAACAACAAACAATATCAATCAATCGATCAATCAATCAATCACCAATCAATCACCAATCAATCAATCAATCAACCAACCAACCAATCACACAACCAACCAACCAACCAATCACACAACCAACCACACAACAGAAAATAAAATCAATAATCAACATTCAGCACTTGGCACAATTATTCGATTCTCATATTTTTTTTTCATTTTTTTCATTTTTGTTTTCATTTGTGACTTTTTTGTTTCATTTGTGACTTTTTTGTTTCATTTGTAATCTTAATTTTTCCACAAACTTTATTTAACACAATTTTTTGACATATTATTAGTAATGATAATGGCAATGATCTATTTTGGGATAGCGAAAGAAGTGGGCTGGGCCTACTTGCTTGCTTACCTCTTTCACTCTTTTCCCTTTCTTTCTCACGTGTGTGTTTTTATTTATTTATTTAATAATAATAAATGTGGATCAAATCACATGTTCATTATTATTAATTTTTTATCGAAACCAACCCAACTAACAGATCCTGAAGAAAGTCAATTTTTGTTTACTACTATGTATCACGTAAATAGCTAATGTTACTCGTTTTATTACGCGGACACCCTTCCCTGACGCGCGCACACACACACACACATATATATATATATATATTCAAATTAATTATATATATCTTTTCTCCGCTAAATTGTTAATTGTGCATACAAGTAATAGCTATTTTTTTGGTTTATTAGTTTAGTTATATAAATAGGGAAAAAATCCAATGAAATCAATTTCACAATCATCTTTATTTGACACTTTACTATGTTCAGTACTGGACTAGACCAGCTTGGACTTAAGTCTAATGGCGCAGTATTGGACTATGTCCAGTTGACAACACTGTGATGCTGCTGGTAAAAAATTCAAACAAACGACATCATAATGTACTCGCATATTCTATAAACTTCTGGCATTCTCTATCTATTCCTTTTCATAGCGACTGATTACGTATTAATAAATTGTTGATCCTTAATATGTTCAATTTTCTCACACAATAAAATATATAAAGGGTCCTGGTCGTCTCATTTACACCACTATCTACAAAATATTTATTATCGTCAACACACAGAGTAAATAATAAAGACTAGTCTAAGAAACAGAAACAGAAACAGAAACATGGCATTTTTACATGGTGTTAGAAACATTGTTAAATCGGTTGGGCTCGGTGACTTGACGCAGATTCAGGTTGAGAATGAAAAGATTGAATTTGATCCTGAAACCTATAATAATATCTCGATCATCGTGAGAGGTCATATGGTGGGTGTCCGAGTGGAAAGAGCATTGTTATATTTGCTTTTACTTGAAAGTTGACTTTATTTTTTTGGTATATATAAAATACAGCACGGATCCATCACATTGTTGCGAGATGATCATGAATCAAAACGATGCAGAATCAATAACAAGATTTACGTGACCGATGATTACATTCGAGTTACAATAACCCCTGTATACACGGATAATCAACTAATATTAACCATAGAGGTAGTTACTACAGTGAATTTATTTCATTATAGAGAGATGATTGTTATTTACCACCTAAATTTTCTTATAAATTAAAGGGACCGCGAGAATATACCAAAATTAAACATGAAACTGAAGTTATATTCCCGCATGGTTTACAAAGTATCCGAAATTTTTACATAGAAAGTGAAAACTCGAATGTCGACGCATATGCACTACCAACTTTATTCTTTGAACGATATCAAATCAATAGTACCAATGGACATATTGATTCACGGGTAATTAATTGACCTTATTATCAATCATCTATTTATTATCTTAATCCATGAATAATTAACCTTCATTCTTTTCAATCGAGTAAACAGTTACTTAAAGCTACAAATATTAATCTAAAAACAACCAATGGGAATATCACGGGTTCCTATCAACCTCTTGCAGGCTTCACCGCTGAATCTTCGAACGGCTCGATCGATTCAAGTGTCACATCGTCGTCACAACCATCTTCGATTGACCTACGAACAACCAATGGGGCCATTAAAGGTTTTTATCGAATGGGGAGCAATTTCGCGGCAAAGACCACCAATGGAGCTGTTACTGTTCAAGGTCACTTGAAAGCAGACGAACAAGTCAATGCTAGAATTGGATCAACTAATGGCATGGTGTCGTTGACTTTGGTAGGAATTTAGTTATAATTATTGATATATGCTTTTTTTGTGTATCAAATAATCGGTGCTGATAATTAATTTGTTGCTCCTTTTAGTCAAAAATCTATAAAGGTCGATTCCAACTTGAAACCTCATGGGGACCAACCAACGTATCAGAACTTGTTGACGTGAATTTTGATTCTTATACTCGTAGCGTGAAAACCGGCGTAAAGGGTACCGCTTCATTGGGTAATAACATAAAATTGAATACTATGAATGGTGGGGCACGATTGGAATTTATTTAGTATTTTTTGGTGATTACTTTTTATCCAGAAACATTCCAGAAACATTATTTTTACATTATATATTTATATTGATAATCACACAACTTTAATAAAAATATCAAAACATATATTTAATAAATCAAATTTTATATTAGTAAATTATTTTTTTTTGATCGTTAATAAGATCTGTAGTTTATAAATATCTTCCATAGTTAATTTATATAAATCACCACCTAATTCCTGCTAACTTTCATAAAATAAAAAATAACTTGCATGCACGCTATCTCATCAATTTATAATGTTTAGTGTTACAGTATTATTTATTAAATTAGCAAGAGAAAAAATTAAAAAATCAGATAAAGTAGTATAATCATCACCATATTTCTATCACCACAAAAATGAGAATTAAATTAATAATGACCATGTTAAAATATTAAATATTACAAAAAATAATGGACTTGTTCCTTAAATTATAAAGTTAGAATGAGTAAAAAAAGATTAACATAAATTCGAATAAATATCTATAAATTTGAATTTCATCATTTACCTTCCTTTCAGAAGTCATTTGCTGTGCTGGTCCATCTCTGTCATTCTCTGGCGCTGCATCAAATACATTGAAAAATCGTTCCCCATATGTGCCCACTTCGAGAATCGAGGCCAGATTACCACAACGATAACAGTAATTTGGAGCAGACCATACAGTCGAAAGTTTATCATCATAAAGTACCTAAAATAACAATAATTATAATTAATAGTGTGATTCAAGATTCCCGGATATTTTTATTATTCTCGTCAATAGATAGATAGATACCTGATATCCTTCCATACATAATTGATGTGCCCTTAATATATGTTCCATTTGATTGATCTCCAGGAACTTTTTAACAACTTCACCTCCAAAAGTATAACCCGCACCTCTAAGAAAATCCATATCCTACTAGTGAGAATAAATTCTAAAACATCAACTAGGTAAAAATATATCAAGAGCTCACCTCGGAGAAATTGCAAATTCATCCTTATCTGGATCCGGGTCTGACCAAACCAAATCAGCCATCGGACCTTCATGCGGTATTTCTTTTATGCATGCAATAGATAGATTGATGTATAAATAAAATATCTTATTAATAATAAACTTTAACTCGCACCCAAGGGAGGTAAAGAATTTCAAATGATTGAATGATTTTTTACCTCGAAATCGATCAAGTATTTTAATTTGATCAATTGTATGTATTGAAGGAGAAAGACCTTGAGATAAAATATTATTGTTCGTTAATGCTTTTAATTTAAATTTGTAATAAAGAATCAAAGACAAAACTAACCCCCATGCACACAAAATATCCGATCATCGATTACAACAGAAAGTGTAAGGAAATCAAACATATCCGTAAAGTAATGCCATACATTAGCATTCCCATATTTACGAACACATTCCGTGTAGAATCCATAAGTCTATCATTATATGAATAAGTAATTTTAATTTTTTTAATTTGAAATTGACCAAATATTTTTTAATCAAGTTATTATTTCAACCTGAGTTACCGCCCTCGATTCGTGATTTCCTCGGACCAATTGTACTCTTTCGGGATAGCGTAATTTTAAACAAGTTAATAGTGATATCGTTTCCACGCTGAAAAGGCCTCGATCAACATAATCGCCTGCATCATTTGGAAACCGTGTGTATGTAAGTAGTAGGGTGCGAAATTGAGAAAATTTTCCAGGTTGTGACGCGTCTCGCGCGATCTCACGGATTTTTTATATTTATTGAAAAATTTTTCGTTTATTTATAATTTATGTACCAAGGAAGAGATAGTTTGTCGATGGACTGTAACCTCCTATCCGAAATATTTCAATAAGATCGTAGAACTGGCTATATGTACCGGTAGTCAAAAAATGTCATGCAATATGTTTGATTTATTTAGCATCTAGAAACACGGACAAATAAGTATGAAAGTAAGAATGCAAACTAAAACAAATGCCCACACACCCATGTATATCACCAACAACTGTGACAGGCGCCAGAATGTGGACAACATTGCTTTCTCGCATTAGTAGCTCTTTCGTCTTCTCGCATATCTCTTTAAGCAAAGATTCAGCGAGGAGTTGCTTTTGCAAGAGTTGTTCTATACACGCATCCAGATCGAGTGGCATTTTACCTTAAATGAGTGAAGAATGTTACCTCTATTGTTCGAGATTCCTGTGTTGGAAGCAGTTTCTTATTAGTGAACTTCGGACTTCGGGTAGATATTGAGGTGTATTTGTCACGATCACGTGAAATTAATACGATTTCGTAATTATATCCCAAATCAAATTAGAATAGGAATATGACCAGAGTTAGGGTAAGGATTAGGGTTAGTGTTGAGATTTTGATTTGGAATATATCCCAGTTGTCAAATTGGGGCAGATTGTGATTTGGGGCACAACAGATATATATACTTCCCCCAGTGTTAACTGGATCATACTAGACATTAGTCCAATACTGCGCGCCACTGGACATAGTAATTTTATAAGTCCAATATGGTCCAGTTCAGTAACTAGACATAGTAAAGTGACAACGCTGACTTCTCCCACCTAATTTGTGACAAACTTTTAGCTGGATTTCATAATATCAAGAATAAAGTGCAATATATTGAAATTAACGCATCCTATTGGCTGATCAATTTCTATTCTCTATTTCCAAGTAATTTTATAATAATTTGTCAAGAATAAATATTGGATGCTTAACATTTTCTTATTGTTGTCACTATTTTTGAATTGACTTTGTGATCATCTAGTACAATAAATTGTGCCATTCTGAGTTTGATATTTTTGACCGTGATTATTAATTGATCGTATTATAGTTTTCTAATATTAAAGTTCGATTTTTGTGAAAAACTAAAGCCAAAAAGGATATGATTGTGTATTAGAAAATAGATTAAAATACTAGGATAGCTTGAAATTGAAGAATGCATTCAGAATTACAATTTGCAATAATTTAAAAAACTACATATAGTAGTGAAAAGACTTGTAGCGTTAGGTGCATTAATTTGGGAATTTATAAGTCATTTTGAAAAATCATGTCATTAACTCGGTGACTCAAAAATGCAAAAAAAGACAAAAATTCTTTTCTATCTAAAAACCAAAACCAAAACCAATTCTATAGTATCGTTGTATCAATTTGAATGTTTCTATTAATTATCCAATTATCAACAACTAATTCTTCAATCAATCAAGTTTTTCTTGTTCCAACATCTCACTATTTTTACTTGATCCTGACGAATTAGAAACAGAATCATTAGGATTTGTAGTACCATCCGGGACAAAGAAATCCGAAAATTGCAATGGTCGGATATTCATATCCTATATAAAATCAAAAATCAGATAGAACAAAATCAAGTTACCCGAATAAAAAATAGTTCTTTAATTTTACCTTTGGATCTATGTCAGTCAATTCTCCTTCTGGCGTAGAGTGATTTCGCATATATTCTCGTATCGGAATCATAGCAGCATTCCGGCAAGCTTCTTTCAAGTCGCTTCCGGAGTATGAGGCTGTTCTAGCGACTAATTGGTCGATGTCAAAATCAGGCTCTAAATTTTGATCTGACAACATCTAATAAAAGAATAAGTTACGAAAAATTTTAACTAGTTATGGTGATGGTCAGTAAATCTTTAATTTCCGTAATTGAAATGTCAACTCACTATTTCCAAGATATTTTTTCGTTGTTCCTCGTTTGGAAGCCGGATAGCAAATCGTTTTGGCATTCTACGAAGGATTGCAAAATCTTTTATAAACGAGATTCTAGATTAATAATTAATTATAGATTAAATCCATTTTCATCGATAGTTATTAGAACTGGTATTTACCAATATCATTAGGTCTATTCGTAGCACCCAGAATCTAAAGAACGACACACAAAAATCAATTCGACAATACCTTGAAAATATCAATAATCAATAACTTTATCATATAAACTCACAATAATGCGGGTGTCTTCGTCAGTAGTTAATCCATCCCATAAACTAATTCGAAAAAAAAAATTAAATTCCGTAAATAAGGACCATATTTTTTGGTTTCTTAACTAAAATATATGTACCTCATAAATTCAGCTTTCATCATCCCAGTAACCTCATGATCACTACTTCTTCTTTCACGAAGAAAAGCGTCAATCTCATCGATAAAAATAATGCACGGTTGCAATTTCTTTGCAACTGAGAACACCGCGGACACGAGTTTATTTGATTCGCCGAACCATTTGTCGGTTAGGGTGGAGACATGAAGATTTATGAAAGTGGCACCTGATTCACGAGCAAGTGCTTTTGCCAGCATTGTTTTCCCACAACCTATATATAATCAAATGATATGTAAAAGGGAATGAATTGTTTAATAATGGCGAAAAAAAAAAATGTTAAAAATACCCGGGGCCCCATAAAGTAAAACTCCCTTGGGGACACCAAGCAGTCCTGATTGTGACTTGAAAAGTTGAGGATAGGATAGCGGATATATCACGGATTCTCGAAGAGATTGAATTATAGGATCGAGTCCTTTTTCCAATAATTAAAATAATAATCTTAAGTAATGATTAAATTACGGCAATCATTGTAACAAATCTAATTTAATTCACCTCCAATTTCTGAAAATAAAAAATTGAAAATATTAGAAATCATTATCGTAAAAGAAATCAAAAAAGACAATCATTAATAATAACGCCCACGTTTGAAATTCACCGAGATGTCATCGGCAAATATTACTTCTGATAAAATAATTTCTTCATATTCATTTAATTTCATGGCTTTGATCTACGCATAAAAGCACATTGATTAAGAATTTTTCGAGCTTTCATTTATCAACTGTGGTAAAAAGAAATTTCCAAATATAATGCAAAAAAGATATCCACCCCTAGTTTCCCTAAAACCTCATTGCTTTTGGCCTTTGCCTCTTTCTTTTTATCCTTCATGGGATCAAGAGAGCCAATAATGAATTTGACAGCAAAGTAAAGTGCCACTTGAGAGATCGCAAATAACACCGCTATATACAATAAAAAGAAACATGGTAAGAACCCGAAACAATTTTTGATCAACCATCCTAAGAGGGAATAATTTTACTCACCATCCGCGACATATTTCTTTGTGTTTGTAGGCGACATATTCTCAAGGTATTAAATGGAGGCAGACAAAAAGAAAGTTTGCAAAGGTATGAGAATTCAAGGGAAAGCTGATTATCGTCCTTCTTCGGAAAAATGGATCACTGTAGATCTAAAATGTCTAAAATGTCAATTTATATAGAATGTGTAACGAACAATTCGATCGGGTTTGAATCCAATAAAAATCATCAAGATCTATGTTGCTAAAATATTATTTTTGCTTCGTTATTTTATCCCAAGAACTTGCATTAAACATTTACTTGTTGGTATACCTTATCCCAACAAAAAAACAATATAATAAAAATGGCAGAAACTTCTACCACAACTATCATTAACCACCATAGCCACGAAAATCACATTCCCAACAACAATACTCCAAAGACAACAAATTTCAGATTTCCAATAGCTGATTTTGACAAACTATTTTCAAGTCAAGCAAATTTGTTAGAATTCAATTTACCCGACGACATTTTAACCGATGATATAATTGCCTCTCGCTCAACACGAGCATTTACGCGATCACAAAAACTCGGGGCCAGACCACGTACATATCACAATGGATTAGACTCGACAGACGAAGAAGACGTCAACAATCAAAGGTTTAAATCATTTGCGGCCCGACAAAAAATTAATTCGTCTTCTTCGCGTGTCCATGAAAAACTCACCGTATATCATAATGGAAGACCATACCCGAGACGTACGGTGCCGTCAAGATTAGATGATAAATTGGTGGCTGGATTCCCAGAATGTCCTCCGATTACCGAGAAGTGGGATGCAAAGAGTTTCATCAATACCCCTTTTACAAAAACCGTTTATCCCTCGAAAGTGATGAAGGGACCGTTCAAGTTAAATGCACGCGATATTGAGCAAAAGTTTATGCAAAATTGCTTCACGTCTCACGTGTCGGCTATTATTACTGCCGCAAAGTATCTTGATGAAAGTGGAAATACTGCTCAAGAAACCGAAGCAAGTTAAAAGACAATATATAAAAGTAGAACATTTCGTTGAATCCTTGTTTCCCGATTTCATAAATTCTTTGTTGAAGATTTTTAGTTGACTAAAAATAAATAATTTCTGTACATATCGATATCTTGAAAATTAATTGTACATGGATTATCACTAAAAAAAAATGGCGCCTTGCGTTACATTTTCCGCCGGTTCAACGCGTTCATTTTTGAGCGCATAAGCTAAAGACGCGATAAAGCGTATAAAGTATTTTGACTCTGTGACGAAGACTGTAATAAATAGATATTATAACAACTTCTAATGGCCGAAAACTAACAATCGAAAATAATGATGAAAGCAAATATGCATCTTTCATGATGATCTCTTGGTTAAGCCCTTATTACCAGGACAGTTCTCTGATGTCATCATCACCTTCGTAATTAACATTCTCGTCTTCATTAACTCGGAGAACATTGTTAATTGGTTCTTTGCTTTTTACCACATTAAACAACTTTAGATTTAAAATGAGAGCCAGATTCAAATGGACCTGCATGACATATTTTTATTCCCTACAAACTTTGGTGACAAAGCAATGTCTTTTATAATGAATGTGACAAATAATCAAGGGACAGCTTTCATTAAACATCAGCTTTTGATGAGCCTTCTATCCTTTTCTGTAATGGAGAAGTCCTTTCTACATACTTTGTCAATTTTTGCTTTTCAGAATGTCCATTAATATGCCGATAAACATTATGTGCATCATTTTTCGCTTAATCTTGTTGGAAAATCATCGATTTTCAATGCAATAATTAAAATCAATGTTGGGTGGTTGACAAGCATAAGAGAAAGCTGAAAGACAGTCCAGACAAGGTCAAAATAATAGATAGGTATTCCTTAAAAAATCTAAGAAATTTATCGAATGGCCAATTGATAACACACTACACCTGAAAAGCTGTTGTCAAAAAGAGAACCTGACTCCAAGACCATGCGAGATCCGACCAACACTCATATCCTTCAGCTTTAGTATTCTTTATCTCTTTCTTCAAGTGGACCACTAGTTTTCCGTTAAAACCAACACAATCCGTAAGGAATGACTGCAAGGTTTACACGAAATGCTAAAAAAATGTGTACTTGGTATATATTGGCGGTATTTAAAGATGTACAAAAACTGATTTTTTTTGGAAAAATATGTGAAACGTTACATTTTTTTTAAATAAAGCTCAACATTAACGTTAAATGAATTTTATTAAATAAATAGTAATAAAATGCTTAAATCTGACCCAAAGAATGTTGTTCGAGGTTTGCTATTTCTATCTCTTTTAACCAATAGTATAATAAAAAAATTCGAATTTTAACAATTCGGTCATTAAATTTGTTATTTAGACCTTGGTAATTTAGTAGACACAGTATTTGGACATCCGAAAGATAATTTTGAAAAAGAGAGCAAAAACTTTGTGAAAGAATTCGAGGTATTTTCTTTTTATTTTTTTCTTTGGATTTAAATCAATTTGATCTTTTTAGTAAACTAATTAATTAATTAATTAAGACTCTACGAAATAATCGAGAACGTGAAAACTTGGAACGGTGTATTATCTTGACGCAGGATGCGCCTGATAAGTTTACTAGTGGTGTTGCTTCGTTGAGTAGGAATGTTAATGGGGTGTTGGATAAATGTGAGTGAATGTGTGAGTATATGAAATAATTTATCTTTTTTTATTTTGTGCTTGAATTTTGTTTTTTATATTCAAAATAAAGATGTATTGATCTTGTACAAAATTTAATCTCTACAGTAAAAAATTCAAAACCTAAATTTGAACAACTTAAAAAAGAGTTGGATGAGCTGAAAAAGGTATAATATCTGTATTCTCGTTCTTTATTCATTTCATTCTTAATAAAAGTGCACCGTTTTTATATACACATTGAAAACTTAATAAATCAATTCAGCGAAAAAGCACTATAATCGATCCATTTGCCATCGATAGACACGACTACACGAAAGAAATTGAACAATCCAAAATCGATTATGATAAAGTGATGAAACATAAAGAACAGGAATTGATTAAAGAGTATCGCGTGTTGATGGAGAATGCTATGAAGACTGTCGTGGTTGTTACCTCTGGAGGAAGTATTAATGATGGTGGTGGTCGGGATAGTGCTGGTATTAGTAATAGTAGTGATTTTATGTGATGAATCAGATAAAAACTATTTGAATATTATTTTATCATAGTTCTTATTATCTGAGCCCAAAAGTTAATGTTCTTGCTACTTTTGATTTCGAAAACGTGTAGCAATTGACACAAAATCTCCGATCACTAAATCAAGTCGTGAGATTCCTGGAGTTGATCTTAAACATCTTCTATGAAATAACTTTTATAAGGTGGATAATGATAAATTGATTTGTTCTTAATACTTATGATATAATTATTAATGTACATGAGAAGATATCTATATAGGATCACAGTCTCAAAAAGTTTGAACACATTAATTATCAATTTAATTTCTATTACATTTTCTTATAAAAGAACATTCAATTCATTTTCTAAGTTCTTTAATTTATTTTATTTTTATTAAATTTTGAACAATTACCCTTCTTTTATTATTATTCTTCTTGTATGCATGAAAATTTTGAGTAAATAGAAACTGTTGTTATAGCTGTTTCTTTGACTTAATTCATTGAAATGTTAGTTTGACATTGCTTGAATTTTGTAATGGATATTCTTCATCATATACATAGTTTAAATCTTTTTATTCTCAATTCCATCTAAATGAAAGAGGTCAAAATGCTATGTGTATTGGTGACTTGTGAAATATTTCACATATTGTTATAGTCCTATCAGAGGATCTTTGCTATAATATTTATATGTAAAATGAGATCCTATTCTTATTATTCACTTTCAAATTTATTATTCCTTAAATCAATGATGATTTTCATGACTGATTAAGACTATATAGTTGAGTAGCAAAGTCTTCCAGTATTTTACGATAAGCATAAAGAACTGAAATTCAATATATATTTAATTCATATTTTTATATTTTTAAATTCTTATGTTTTTATACTCATTTTATTATCTTATATTTTTATTTTATGAAATACAATTCTTAACTATGAGGAACCTGTTATGATATGAATATTTAGTTCTTATTTTATTAATTAATTTATATTATAAATTTAATTGAATAATATTCTATTATATTCTATTGATTATTTTATATTCATATTTTATTGGATATTAGCTATATGAAATATTATTTGTAGATATTTTTAGATGATTAAACAAGCAATCTGATTATAGCTAAACTAGCAATCTGATTATAACAAAAACAGTAATATGATACTAGCAAAACAAGCAATTAGATCCTAGCAAAAATAGTAATAGTATTATAGTAAAAGTAGCATTCATAAAACTATTAAATATTATAAAAGCAATATATCTTAGCTAGAAATTTAGATAGTTCTATAGTTTCATAATTATATAGCTCTCAGAATCTCAAGAATAATAAATAATAATTAAAAAAAACATGTAATAAATTAATGATAAATTCATCTAATAATAAAATTATATTTTATTATTATTAAATTATAATCTTATAATAAAATTACATATTTATTACATAAAGTTTCTTAATTATTAAAAATTTCAAATCTCATTCTAGTTGATCATATCATGAACATACTATTATCTCTCTTTAAATATAGTTTAATGCTTGATATATTATATAGATTTGATTATATTATACTCTTCTACCTGTCATTCTTAATAAACTTTACTATAATTATCTTGATCAAGTAACTTATTATAATGTTATTAAGCACTTTTCATCATTTTCAAGAACTCATAAAATATGATAACAATATTAAATAGTGAAAAATAATTATTATAGATAAAATATAATTAAAGCTTTAAAAAAGATATTAATTGATTACTACAAAAATATAGCTAGTTAATAAACTGTTCATTATTTATTATTAATGAAATTTGTATATTAATTGATTAAATAAATATAAAACAAATCTTATATTAAAATACTTATATTAATTTTGCAATATTAGACATCAATCAAGTTGCTATTATTATATAATGATCTTTTGTTATAATATTTCATATTATTGGATTATACATATTTTATATTGTCATGATATGACATTTAACGAATAATCTTATTGGATAAGATTTATATTCATTATTATTGGATTATAATTATTAGT